AGGAGGATCTCAGACATGTGTGACTGCAATTCCCACAGAAGGATACTGGGAAAGTGGGCTTTAGATGGAGGTCTCCCAGTCCCAAACACGCTGTTTGGTTGGTACAGAGCAGCCAGGCAATGGCTGGCAGGGCAGCACTTGGCAGAACAGTGGGAGCCTTCACACAGCTGGAGTGAGCTCCTGGTGCAGGAGAGGAAGGGTGTCCTCCATCCTGAGCCACTCTGGCTGCTCTGGCCATCTGTCACTGTCCAGCAACCCCTGTTTGCTCCCTGCACTGCATGGACTCTCACCCAAGGCTGCAGGACCAGCCTTCCCCAGCAGAACAAAGCCAGCAAGCCTTGTGTGAAGCCAGGAGCCCCCTCCACCCTCCCCAAACAGCTCCTGCCACCTCCCCAGACAGCTCCACTCTGATCTGGAGCACCCTGGGGCAGCTGCAGCTGCTGCCACAGCACAGGGGATGTCACCCCTTTGGGACAGTGGCTGACCCTGTTTGTGCTGTCCCGACAAGAGCCGAGCCTGTGGGCTTGCAGCAGAGTCACTGTCACTAGAGTTTTGAAAAACATGTTTCATGTTGCCCTTAATTTCATTTAAGGTCACTAAAAATGGACACCATAGCCACACATCTCATGAACCATGAATTCCTAGAATCCCCCTAAGCCTGGAGGATGAGGGAAAAGCTTATTTTAGCACACATCCCTTGTGATCGGCCCTTTGAACTCAGCACAGGGGATGTGCTGGGAGCAAAAGGCTGAGGCACACCAGGCCAGGGAGCAGGCTGGGGCTTTGTCCCGACACCAAATTGCCACTGTAATTCAGAAAGGACATTTCCAGCTCCCAGGCATGCTCAAGACAAGAGGACTGGACTTCACCCACACAATCATTGGGGTTGGAAAAGACTTCCCAAGATCAAGTCCACTTCTCACCGATGCCCACCTTGTCACCAGCCCAGGGCTCTGAGTGCCACATCCAGCCCTTCCTTGGACACCTCCAGGGATGGGGACTTCACCACCTCCCTGGGCAGCCTGTTCCAGGGTTTGACTGCCCTTTCAGTGAATAATTTCCTCTTGATATCCAGCCTGAGCCTCCTCTGGCCCAGCCTGAGGCTGTTCCCTCTCCTGCTGTTCCCTGGGAGCAGAGCCCCCAGCTGTCCCCTCCTGGCAGGAGCTGTGCAGAGCCAGAATTTCCCTGAGCCTCCTTTTCTCCAGGCTGAGCCCTTTCCAGCTCCCTCAGCCTCTCCTGGTGCCCCAGACTCTTCCCCAGCTCCATCCCCTTCTCTGGACATGCTCCAGCCCCTCCATGTCTGTGTTGCCATGAGTGGCCCAGAACTGGACAGAGCACTCAAGGTGCCTCAGCAGTGCCAGCACAGGGGGTGGGCACTCTCCTGGTCCTGCTGCCCACACCATGGCTGGTACAGACCCAGCTCTCATTGGCCTTTACTGCTGGCAAGGTCCCCACACCCAGTGGAAGCAGAGCCTCAGGCAGCAAGAACCACTCTCCTGGTTTTCTCTTGCTGGTTGAGGTGTCCAGGTGGGAGCAGAGTGCAGGAAAAGAAGTGGCACTGAGCAATGACCCACGGCAGCTGCAGGTACAGCTGCTGCTCTGTGCTGCCAACATCACTGCAGGCACAGAGCTGTCCTGAGGTGAAGGTCACGAGGGTGCTGTCACCACGAGCCACATTGCCTTGCAAGGCTCTCTCATCCCATCCTGGTGCTGCCAGGGAGCTTTTATTGCTGCCCTTCATTCAGAAAAGGGCACACTCATAGCTCAATATACCCCAGCAAATTAAAGGTGGATTTACTGGTTGGTGTCTATCTATTTTTGCACAAAGAACTTCGGGAGAACAAGAAGGTTTTGTAAGCTGCAGCTGAGTATGTTCCCTGGCACGCTGAAGGAACCTGCTTTATTAAACTAGTAATACACAGCTTAAAACATGGAATGAGTTGGCTTGTGCACAGAGACAGGTGCAATCGTTCCTGCCCAGGTCTCCCCAGCACAAATCTTCACAGCAACATGCACAACTGATGCAGAGCTGCTAGAAGTCAGGGGCTATACTCTACCACCAGGATAACTTCCTTTAAAAAAATATCCATTTCTAATTGAACCAAACTAAACTTTAAAATTCTTTCCTAAGCAGCAAATAGTCAGCTTTTTGCCTTTGCTTTTAGGCCACCAAACCTAAGAGCAGTCCAGTAAAACTGAGGGACTTGTCAGTCATGTCTAAAGGGCTGTGGCCATTCCCCCTGCAGCACAGACCAGCACATCAGCTTCACTGAGCACAGACTCACTGCCCCAAGGCTGGGGAGCTCCTGAGCAGCACACATTGTGCTGGAACCACAGCTCCTGGAAGCTCCAGGTGAGTACATTGCTTCAGCAGCAGGGGCTGGAAAGCCTTGGTTGCAACCTCAGTGCATTGGGACAGACTGTTCCCAGCTCTGACTCCTCAGCACTCTGTGCTTGTTCCACCTGGCTGAAAACACATTCTGATTTGCAGAGAGGTGGTGAAGAGCCCAACTCAATTCTCAGCCTCCAGTTCCATCCTGCAGTTCACTGAGATCATGTGAGAGCTTTCATTTGTCCCAGATCCTGGCTGTGGGCTGATGGAAGCACATCTTAGGAATGCCAGGTCGGTGCTGGGACCAGGCAAGTCTGACCAAGTGAAAAAAGGCTCAGAAAACGTAGATATCTTCAAAGGCACTGCAGAAGGGGAGAAAGAACATCTCCATCCACACATGACCTTGACCCACTCTGAAGACTTGCCTCTTCCTCAGGCTGTGAACAAGGATGAAGAGGGTCTGGATGGCTGCAGGAGGTTGGACTACAGACCTCCCAAGAGTCCTTCTTATCTGACTCTTTCCATGATCTGGACTGAAAATGCAACACAGGGCTTTTGCAGTTAAGGTCACAGTCTCTGCAGCTCTTCAGGCCCTGATTCTGCCTGTGCTGGGGCTGAGAACACTCCTAAAGCAGGCAAGCTTCATCCGTGTGGCTTAAGTGTCACTCATCAGCTGAGCTCCTCCATGGGCTATGCAGGCAGCACATGAGGAATGTGCTGCCTTCCTTGGGTGGACAAATGGAGCTGATCCTCATTCCTCAGACATCTTGTCGCTGGTCCCCAGCCTGGGATGGCAGCAGCTCCTCAGCTGGGGTTATGGATGCCAGCCCCTCAGAGGAGATGCTGTTTTCCACTGGTATTTCCAGGCCAGGGCTGGGTGTGCTGCGGGCACACAGAGCACAACTCTGTGGGCTGGCCCCTGCCAGGTCTGTGCTCTGCCCTCCCCCTGTCCCTGGGGTACCAGGGGGCCCTGCTGGCCTTGGGGAACACAGGTTCACCATGCACAGCACCAGGCTCTGGTTCCCAAATGAAACCTGTCACCTGGTAGAGTTTTCAGAGACACACCTGGGCAGCCTGGCCCTGCTCAGCCCCACACCAGCACCCAGCACAGCCCCAAGAGAGGAGCCCTGCCACAAACCTTCCCTGTCAGAGCTGAGATCCCTCCCTTGCACTTGGGGATACAGGGAATTTGGGTACAGTGAGTACAGAGGCAGTTTGGTTCATTTCTAATACTGGTCTGGAAAAATACTGAGTATCAGCATCTCCAAGCACCCCCAGCACATTCCCTTCCCCTCCTGGACCAGCTCTCCCTCATCCCAGTGAGCACTTAGCACAACCCTTGGGCCTCCTAAACACACAGGGAACACATCTGTGCTCCCTGCTGTCACTGAACAGGGCAGGGAAATCCTAATAGTTGCCTAAACAACATTTTTTGGTTTTTAACAAAGAAAAAAACAAATGCCAAAGAACAACAAAACCCCACAACAAAAATAAAACTCCTCACTTCCAAAGAAAGTCTTCCTCCTGGAAAAGCCAAGGGAAAAGTGATGGGCATGGTCAAATTGGGAGGCTGAAAAAAGCAGGACATCAGTGGGTCCCACTGCCATGAGGCAAGGGACATGTCACTCCATCTGAAATCTTTCTGGGCCTTTGCCACTCTCCCCCCAGTCTACCATAAGCTTCCTGGGTCAGCTGGTTCTGCCTTTCAGGGCACAGAAAAACAAGGCAAAGGACACGACAGCGCTGCCAAAACACTTGGGAGAACACAGGAATCCTGTATTTGTCTCTGTGGTACGAGTCAGCTGCAAATGAGCTTTAGAGAAATCAGTGGAGCAGGTGACTCCTCCCAGGCTGCAGGTCATGTGGGATTTTGCAAAGCCTCAGGAGAGAGGTTTGCTTTGTCCAAATTCTGCTTTAACTTGGCTTAGCTGTAACACCAATTCTTTCTTCCGAGCAGGTGCTTCTAACTGATTTGTTTTATTTTTACTTACCATTGCTTCATACAATCATGATTTTCCAGACTGTCCTCTGTGCAGAAAAGATGTTTGGCCCTAACACACTGCTGCAATATTTAAAATACAGGCCTGGTGTGACAGCAGAGACCTTGAGAAGGGCAGACAAAGGCTCTTGTGCAGAGCACAGCCACAGGCTGGTAAGAGGTGGGGCAGAGATGGGCCCTGAGGACTCCACAAACACAAACAAATCACAAGGGATCAAATAAATACAGACCTGAAGGTGAAACCCGTGGAAGAGAGCAAGTATCCAATATATGTAAAAATTCATGAGATATCACTGCTCTGAAACAGGTGAAGTTTACTTGTGTTCACAATTTTGGAAAGACAGAAATTCTCCACAGGCTTTGCACCTTCCCTCAGATGGGAACCTTCTCTTCCAACCCCCACACTCAGGAGAACACCAGTGCTACCTGCAGGAACACCTGAGCTCAGCCTAAGACCTGCTGGAACTCACACCAAGAACTGTTCTGGTTTGTCTCCTGTGGGCCCTTCTCTGAGGTTCAGCTTAAAAAAGCATATTCAGCTCCTGAGGTGCATGACTAGAAATAAATACTGCTTTCTAAAAAGAAGGAAAGCAGAGCAAGAATATGAAATTTTACTGGTATACAAAGTTCTGATGACATTCTAGTCAAACCTAAGGAAATAAAAATATGTATTGCTTATACAAATCAATCTTTATTTTCAAATGCTGCACTGCATGAAATGTATCTGATTGCCAGCCCTGGGCATGGACACATCCCCCCTCCACCCTCCCCACTTCTCCCAGCACAAGCAGAGCAACTACACACACCATCATTTGCACCAGAAGAAAAACCTATTTGCATCCCAATTCTCTTTCCCTTATAAGTGAACAGTGTTCACCTGGAAAAACCACCAAAAAATTACATCTCATTTCTGCATTCAGATGAAATGATCAGGCTTGCTTCAGGGCTGGTCCCATGCGTGGAAGCAGCTGGTGCTTTCAGTGCTCTTCACCTTCTTAACCTGGCTAAAGAAGCACTCTTAAGGCTCCCCTGCTTCTAATAGTGCAACTGCCTCTCCTAGAAGGCAAAACAGTGCGGAGAAACCAGAGGGCAGAGCTCCTCTGAGAACGCCATGGCCCCATCCAGTAATGGCTTTGCATCAAGTAATCTTCCTGCAGTGACTGTTGTCCTTGCTGATGTCTTGACAGACCAGCAATTTTATTTTTTTTTTACCAGCAATATTTTCCCAGCAACACACACGTTCTTCCCAAGTGAAAAGTGCTGTCCATCCTTTGCTCCCAGCAATGTTTCAGAGAAGTCTCAAATTTTATTCTGTACCCGAGATCTTGTTGGAAATGATATCCATGGGAAAGGCTCTGTAGAGATTTTTGGTAATGGGAATTTGCAGAAACATGGATAACCTCTCTTATTTGGAAGAAAGGAGACCTGCTTGACAGGATGTTACACTTGTGTGCTTCTGCTTTAACTCCAGTGTCCAATCACAGCCAAACCCCCAGGTGATAGTCACAGCAATCTTTGAGGACCTTCTGTCTTAGGATCTGTATTTTCTCATGTGTGCAGCAATAGAAGACGAAATCTCAGCACTCTTCTTATTCTGGCCATAGTAGTCCACAAAGTCACCATCGGGGCCGAGGAGGTACATAATTATTGTGTGATCCACCTGCAAGAGAGCACAGCGTGGCTTGGTCAGGGACCACAACATCACAGAACCACAGTTCGTACAGGGAAATGCGGGATTGGGATTGGGATCAGCAGTGGGATACAGGGACATGTGGGATTGGGATTGGCAGTGGGATACAGGGACATGCGGGATTGGGATCGGGATCAGCAGTGGGATACAGGGACATGCGGGATTGGGATCGGGATCAGCAGTGGGATACAGGGACATGCGGGATTGGGATCGGGATCAGCAGTGGGATACAGGGACATGCGGGACAGGGGCGCCCCCTGCCGGCGCACTGCAGCAGCCTCACCCACGCACATCCCGGATATTCCAACTGGATTTGTATCAAAATTAACTCCACTGCAAATTTATTTAAATGACGCTGCACATGCTGTCTGCACCTAACCGTGACAACATCTTTCTCAGCAAAGACACAGAGTTCTGGCTCTGGAAGCCATGATTGCTCAGGACTGAAATACAGCCGTGCTCTGAGTTCAGCTGCATTAGAAATGAGAAATCACAGCAGCTTTGGAGCACACAGGAAAAGAGCCAGTCAACTATGTTACAGATCAGAAAGAAATTCAACTATTGCCAAGTTCCTGTGCTGCTGTCTGCATTTCTGGGCTTGTTTAGAACACACTTTGGTAAGGTGCTGAGCTTGTAGGAGGGCATTGTGGTTCTGACAGGTGAACATACATGGGACTTCAGTAAAGATCAACAGCCAGTTTTAAAATGTTCATGCTGCTCTTATCCAGTCTTTAGTAGGCAAAGGCTGCTTTTACTCACAATGTAATCGTTGTCCTCATCCTTGGGCCCTTCACTGTAGTACACACGGTATGCTTTAGCCACTTGGTCAATCTGTGCCTTGCTACCAGTCAATCCCACCAGCTTCGGAGAAAATTCTAGACAGAAAGAAGACATTTACACATTTTGGTGAAAAGAATCCCTTCAAGAGGCTCCTTTTTAGTGCTCTGTACTACATGCTATGAGACACGGAGGAAGAAAGCAGGAATACCTTTAACATATCTGGCAATGGCTTCTTGGTTGTCCCTCTCAGGATCGATGGTGATGAAGAGTGGGGTCAGATTAGGCAAAGATGGAATTCGATCTGTGATATTAATGGTTATTATTTATTTTAGAAAACCAGGTATCATCTCTCATCTTCCTTCAAACAAGCTCATAGCCATGTAACATCAATCCAAGCCCACCCCAAGTGACTAGACCATGTTGTGCTGTTTTATTTATGTAATTTCTGAAGGAAGCAAGTGCCATGAGATGCAATGCTCTGTGCTCCCAGACCCTGAATTGCCATACCAATTTCATCTACCACTGCAATCATTTTCTCCAGCTCATCAGGACAGATGTCAGGGCAGTGAGTGAAGCCAAAGTAGATCAGCACCCACTGGCCGATGTAGTCCTTGCTGGTCCTGGGCTGTCCCTCATGGCTGACGAGGGAGAAGGGCCCTCCCAGCAGCGGCTTCCCAATGCCTCGGTTTCGTTCCTTCTCCAGTTCTACAAAACACAAGTGGGAATCAAACACACCCATGCCACAAGGCACAATGCTTCCCAGGCACGCCGAGTCAGACACTGCTCAGGGTCATGGCAAGATCCACCAGCGCCTGTCATGCAGACACCCAACGTGCACATGCCTTCCAGAAAGCGCTCCTTTTGGACAAAATCAAATCTATCTAAATTCCTTTGAAACACAATATTATCTTTCACTGTTACCTGACTGTATTTTTGTTTAAAAAGGGAAAAAATAAAGACAAGATATCTGGCCTGCTGTGAAACAGCGAAACCAGCATCTGTTGAAAACTGAACACACCCTAAAAGCTGCAATAGCTCTGTTTTCAACTGTAAATGCATTAAAAGGAAATGTGTGGGCAGCTGCTGCAAGAGAGGGCAAAGCTCACAATGGGTTTCACTGGGTTCCTGCTGGGCACAGCAGGAACCCAATGAACCCACAACACCCAGCTCCGTGTGTGCGCTGCACAGGCTGGCACAGCGTGCTGCCAAACACAACTATTCCATCCTAAGAACTTTAAAACGCTGAACCTTGAATTGCTTTAAATTTCTGAAAGTTTTCTGCGGCACTTCCGTAAACACAGGCACGAAGCGGCCGCGTGGAAAGCGGTACAGTGACGATGCCCAGGCAGGTAAAATACATCTGAATGCAAAACCCACATCATTTAAACACGACAAACGCTTCATCTGAATACGAAACGCGACACTCCCGGTCTAAGAATACGTGCCTGGACGGGCTGTTCGGGTCCAATCCGGCTAGCTATGGACCCCAGCCCACACGATCCCACACGGACAAAAGGCAAACAGCGCAATACAACACCCCCGGCGCTCCTCCCGCCCCCCGCACTCACTCTCCTCCTTGTGCCGCTTCATCAGCTTCATGCCGGCCAGCAGCCCCCCGCCCAGCACCACGGTGGCCGCCAGCGACCGCCACGACACGAGCTGCGGGGGACAAGGGCTTGGTGACTGCTCGGGGCACGGAGCGGCCCGGCCCGGCCCGGCCCGCGCTCCCTCCGTCCCTCCCTCCCTCCCTCACTCACCCGTCTCTGCGCGCCCGCCCGCGGCCCGCCGCCCGGCGGTAGCTGCGACAGCGGGCGGCTGCGGGGTGCGGGCAGCACCGCCCAGCCCCGCACGGCCGGGCCCGGCAGCGGCCACAATCCCGGGCTCGCCCTCAGCCGCCACAGCCCCGCCGCCCCCGCCATGTTCCCGCCGGCCGCGCCGCCCCTTCCGGCCCGCCCGAGGCCGCCATGCAGGCTGCGCCGCGCCTCGCCTTCGGGGTCATCGCTGACATCCAGTTCGCGGACGCGGAGGACGGGTACGATTTCGGCGGCTGCCGGCGGCGCTACTACCGGCACAGCCTGCGCTTGCTGCGGGAGGCGGTGCGGGAGTGGGCGGGCGAGAGCCCGCCGATAGACTTGGTGCTGCAGCTGGGCGATAGCATCGACGGGCAGAACGCCCGGCGCGGCGAGGCCGAGAGCGCCTTGCAGCAGGTGCTGGAGGTCCTGGGGCAGCTCTCGGTGCCGGTGCACCACACGTGGGGCAACCACGAGCTCTACAACTTCAGCCGGGCCCGGCTGGTGCACACCGGGCTGTACAGCCGGCCCGCGGGGGGCTCGGACGGGCCCCCGGACAGGGAGTGCCACGCGTATCACTGCAGCCCGGCCCCGCGGCTCCGCCTGGTCGTGCTCGACAGCTACGACGCGAGCACCCTGGGCACGGACCCCGGCAGCCTCCGCTACCAGGAATCCCTGCGGCTGCTGCGGGAGAAGAACCCCAACGAGGATCTCAACAGCCCCGAAGGTACCTCCGGCTTGGCAGGGGCGCGGGCGGCCGAAGCTTCGCTGTCCGGAGCTCCCGGTGCTGACAGCGGGATGCCGGGGGCTCAAGCATTGCTGGCCGCTCCCTGCCGTCAGTGCGGGCACAGGAGATGCTCCCCCGTACGCCTGGTGCTGCCGCTGGGCTGGGGCTGTGCCCTGCTCTGTGCCCCGCAGGACCGGGCAGGCGGCTGGTGCAGAGCACCGAGTCCTGCCCGCCCTGCCCCATGCCGGGGGAAAAGCCAACCCTGTTCGGGTAGTGTGACCAAAACTCCCGAAAACACTAACGAGTAATCTTCTTCGTGCAAGGGGGCTGGAGTTCTGCTCCAGGAAATGCAAAAAAAAAAAGAAACCCAAATGTTCTGAGAGTAAACCAACCGTCAGCAGATTTACTTACGGCAAATAGAGGAGCCGTGGGAGGTGTATGCATTTGTGCCTAACCTTCTTTTTCATTGCAGGGCTCAAAGAACCTTATTTTGTAGCATTTAATGGAGGATTTAGCCAAGCCCAGCTGGACTGGTTTGATGGAGTCCTCAAGTTCTCTGATGAAAACCAGGAAAAAGTTATAGTTATGGGTAGGTAGATATGGAGGGGGATAAATAGAGAATCAGAATGGTTTGTGTTGGAAGGGCGCTTAAAGCTAATCTGGTTCCAACCCCTGTACTTGATGGTGTACAGAGGCAGCTCTCGGCAGCTCCTCTCACTCATTTCTGTGGGTGGCTTCTTCCCTCCTCGCCAAATATCGATGCAAAACCAGCACAACTCCCATGGAAAAAAAAAATTAGCTAGCCCATGTATGTTAGCTGTAGAAAACATGCAGTTGGTCTGGTGAGGTACAGATGGAACCCTTGAAAGAGCAGAACAGCAACCACACCTCACTCTGGGGGTGAGCTTTCTGTACTCAGTGGGATGAGCACCGAAGTTCTCAGCAATGAAGAGCTTCATTACAGTTTAACTCTCTTTATTTCTTTCCCTCTGGACTGCAGCCCACGTGCCCATCCATCCCTGTGCTTCCAACGGGGTTTGCCTGGCCTGGAATTACGAGGCTGCCCTGTCAGTGATACATGCACACAGGTGTGTGGTCTGTGTCCTCGCTGGGCACCTGCACGACGGCGCCTACTGCCTGGACTCTCACGGAGTTCATCACCTCACCCTGGAGGGGCTCATCGAGACGCCCCCCGACAGCAACGCTTTTGGAACTGTTCATGTCTATGAAGATAAAATGGTACTAAAGGGAAGGGGCAGAATTCCTGACAGAGTTATGCAGTTCTGAAATACCGGGCAAATATTGATTGTTCTTCTTCAGGAAGGACTTGGACAAAAATGTAGATTCAGCTGTTTGCTTTTAGAAAGCTGTGCATGGCTGATCCTTATTGCTTTAGCTCAGGCGTTTTTCTCTTGGATACAGAATTTTAGAAATTGTGTTTCTGTAAGAGAGCACCTGACTTCTTTTTGGAGAACAGAGAAGGCCAGTAATTTAAATAAATATACTGGAATGGAGAATGTTCATTTCAAACACCCAATCCAGACTGGATTGCTGCTGTGAAAAGATGCAAACCATATAAAGAATATTGCTCAAAAAAAGCCCTAATGCTGTTCTCTCCGTGAGCATTAAAGCATGCAGAGTTGTACCTGCCCGGCCACATCTCTATTTATTTATTTTCTGTGAACATTACAATAGGGTCTCATGTTTGGCAGAATATATCCAGCCTGTAGCCTAAATCAGTCTTCCAACTTTGCTTTAAAAGACTAAAGTAATCCTCAGAGAAGGCTGAGCCTAAGGAGACCATCTGTGCTGCACCATGGAATGCTGCAGATGCTCAGGCTGTGCTGTGTGTGCACAGCTGGGATCACCTGCAGCAGGGCTGAGAGTGAGCTCTGACACCCATGTAAGTAAAGGTGTTGTGTGTTACACCTGGAGCTGTCCTGGCTCTGTCCCAGCCAGCTCCTGAGTCCAGTGCATCCACCTGAGCTTCCTTCTCCAGGATGAATAGTGGGACATGCTTGCTGCTGCCGGGCTACTGTGTGGGTCCTGCTTTACAAGAAAAATTAGGTGAGTTGGAGAACAGAGAAGGCCAGTAATTTAAATAAATATACTGGAATGGAGAATGTTCATTTCAAACACCCAATCCAGACTGGATTGCTGCTGTGAAAAGATGCAAACCATATAAAGAATATTGCTCAAAAAAAGCCCTAATGCTGTTCTCTCCGTGAGCATTAAAGCATGCAGAGTTGTACCTGCCCGGCCACATCTCTATTTATTTATTTTCTGTGAACATTACAATAGGGTCTCATGTTTGGCAGAATATATCCAGCCTGTAGCCTAAATCAGTCTTCCAACTTTGCTTTAAAATACTAAAGTAATCCTCAGAGAAAGCTGAGCCTGAGACCATCTGTGCTGCACCGTGGAATGCTGCAGATGCTCAGGCTGTGCTGTGTGTGCACAGCTGGGATCACCTGCAGCAGGGCTGAGAGTGAGCTCTGACACCCATGTAAGTAAAGGTGTTGTGTGTTACACCTGGAGCTGTCCTGGCTCTGTCCCAGCCAGCTCCTGAGTCCAGTGCATCCACCTGAGCTTCCTTCTCCAGGATGAATAGTGGGACATGCTTGCTGCTGCAGGGCTACTGTGTGGGTCCTGCTTTCCAAGAAAAATTAGGTGAGCAGCAGAGTTGTGACAGTGCCCACATCTGCTGGTGACAGGCTTGAATGTGCATCTCCCAGAAAATAAAAGATACAGAGGCTTTCATTAAGTTTTCTTATAAAAAATAGTGTTTATTACTCAGTAAAACCAGTGACTTTCAGTTAAAGATAATAGCAAAAATATTTTTTTCAGATATAGTCTACATATGATTTTAGCACAGGACAGAAATACAGACTGCTCAGTTTTCCAAGAAGTCTGAAATGGATTATCCAGGCACATTTTTGACAGTTCTATGGCTGTAAATAGTCATTTATTAAAACAGTGTTTGCTTTATTTGTCCCTTATATTACGGAAGGGTAGATTTTAGATTTCCCAAACTATCAGGTGATTGGAGAGTGATCCAGAGATATAGTGATATCTTGAATATACCATCAGAACAGACATTAGATCAATGGTGCTTGGAAAATGTAAGAAGCAGCAAGGTGAACAGTTTCCACAGAAAAATCCCCCACTCAGATTTGACAGCGTTCCTCAACATTTTACCAAATCTCAGCTGGCACTGCTGGAAGCAGCCAGGTATTCTTGGCTCCTATCAAACTGACAGTCACCTTTCATTAAGTACCAAAACCAAAGGCAAAAAAGGTCAGCATAGTTACTGTAATAGTTACTGCAGACTTTCTCCCACCCAATTACATCACGGTTTTGCAGTGTGTTGGCCAAGACTCTCGCATGTCTTTGTTCACATAAATATACAGCCATGAAACAAAGGGGAAGAGGGCAACAACAACTGCAGCAACCAAACGAGCTCCTCCCAGGGGACTCCTGTAAGAACAAATCCAACAGAGCTGCTTCAAATCAGTGAATCTTTAAGGCTGGAAAAGACCTCCATGACCATCAGGTCCAACCTTGGACTGCTTACCATCACACCCACTAAACCCTACGGTGCAGTGCCACATCCAGTGCTTTGTTTTTAACACTTCCAAGGAATGGTGACTCCACCACCTCCCTGGGCAGCCTGTGCCAATGCCTGACCTCTCTTTCAGGGAAGAAATTTTCCCTAGGATCTAATCTCAACCTCCCAGCTTGAGGCTGTTTCCTATGTCTGTTCCCTGGAGGCAGAGCCTGACCCCCACCTGGCAGCACCCTCCTATGAGAGAGCTGTAGAGTGAAAAGGTCCCCTCTGAGCCTCCTTTTCTCCAGACTGAGCCACTCCAGCTCCCTGGTGACTCCTGGTGCTCCAGACCCTTCCCCAAGTCTGGCCCCAGGACTGGAGGTGCCTCAGCAGTGCCAGCACAGGGGACAGGCACTGTCCTCATCCTGCTGACCACACCATGATGGGACAGCCCACGATGTCCCTGGCCACTGCTACAGCCACCACATAGCAGTCACATCTGCCTGCAGCTGGAAAGAGCAGAGAGCCTTTGGCCACTTTAATGGGGCTCCTATGGATGTAGCACTAATACTGGAGAGGCACAAAGAATTTTCTGACAACTCAGGCTGCAGAAACTAGCTGGAATTTAAAAATGCACCTTAAGCAAAGGGAAAATGTCCCTATTATGGCAGGGGACCAGAAAAAGTGCTTCATGTAGCCTTACATTCCTCCCTGCCCCAACTTTTATCTGTGCAAGATCCTCCAGGCTGTAGCACCAGCTGCTACTGCTTGGGCATCTGGAAGGTTCAGAGGGTGACAAGAAACAGCAAAACAAGCTGCCAAAATCAACTGTGTGTTTTCAAGGAGCTAGTCACTAAATGTGAACATTGAGATGGATTATAAAAAAAGAGAAAATAAAACTTACTTTGCTGAACTGCGACAAAGACTCATCCATATTGCAATAATCACCAGACCAAACAATTCTCTAAAAAACCAAACAAAAAACTGATCAGAAAATACAATACAAATTTTGCCTCCAAAACAGTATTGGCTGCTCCTTTGGAGAAGTTCAATATATTTTACTAGGATTATAATTATAAAGGTATTTACAAAGTGTAACTTTGTTTCACACTACAAATGTACAAATTGACATGTTAGCTAAACAGCTGCAGAAATTCCTGCCTCCACGTTTTGTTCTACTGCTGGATTTATATTCCATAGCACATTTCTCTAATTAACACAGGCAAAGCAGAGACATTTCTCTCATTGAAACAGAGCAAAGCAACATCCCAGTTTTCCAGACTGTGATTAGGTACAGAAATAGCTGCCAGGGCTTCACCTCAGTACTCTGCAAGCACCTACTTTTTACACACCTGAACGTCCAGGTGAGAAATTCTCCCTTGTCCTCATTACCTTGGAGGACTCAGCAGCCCATGCCAGATTTGAATGAATTTGGTATCACCTCAAGAGTTTTTAAAACACTGATTACCACTCCCACAGCTCCAGAAAAAGAGAACAAAGCTGTTTCACTGTGCTTGTGTCCTGAAAGCCAGACAAGTAAATCCAACTGCCTGCCACAATCAGGGAGGCAATGACTGCTCCCTTCCCTGTGTCCAAGGAGTCACTGGTTTGGAGCATTATGGTCCCTCCTCTTTGGTCTGATTCCTCTGGACCAACAGCTCTCACTGCAACAGCCCAGGAAAGTTCTGGAAGGTGACACCAGGAGGAGATGGCCTGGTGAGCTGGATTTGGGCAGGGGCAAATAAAACCCACTGCTTACCTGCCTTCCTCTTCATGAAAAATGTTTCCTTGAGCATAAGCAAACAAAGAGCAAGCCAAGGCAATGGTCCCAACAACACAGCCAGCAGAATGAAGGTCACAGAGGCTCCTCCAAACACCATTGTCTGGGGAAAAAATAAACTGTCAGCCACTATCATGAAGAATGAAGTAAACCCATCTGGGTCTTCCACAGACCTGAATGGCAAATACCCCTTGGTGAATTTACATAAACCTGCAGTTTTAGAGAAGTTGTGCTATTATAATCTTTATTTTCCACAGATCTGGGCACAAGGGAAACCCTAACTATGAGTTTAACATACAGATTCTATTGACCAGCCAAAACCTCCCCTGAAATATTCAAAACCACAAGCCTCATGAGTTCTGAACTTAGGAATGCTGCCACTTTATATGCTTAAGGTGGCCAGAATGCCAAGAGACTGCAATGGTGTCATTTGTGCAATACCATGCACTCCTGAAGGTTTTGTTTTTTTAAGTTTATTCAGCATAAATATTCATTCAGAACAGATACAGTCACTTTGTGTACATAAAATGGCTTTACTTAAAATTATTTCCACTGAATTAAAATACAAAAATCTTAACTGTGTTCTGAAGACTTGAAACAAATCTGATCTGAATGATCCTCTGAACTGCTGTTAGCCCCCACAACACACACCCTTGGAAACACAGCCTTTGAATGTTCCTATTGCTGCCCAGGGCTCTGTGGGGCAGCTGCAATACCTGGCACTGAACAAGACCTTTAGCACTTTCATGGGACTGTGCAAAGCTCAGCTGCTTTTGCACGAGGTAGATAAACAAAAACAGATTTACAACAATGAAACAAAGTCAATTGCTAAGGTCAACACAGAGCTGGGTTCAGAGCATGCTCCCAAGCTTCTGTTCCAGAAGGCTTTAAACTGGAATTGGGGTGCAAAGGCAGGCCCATCCCAGCAGCTGGGCTTTCTGCTGGACTCCTCACCTGCAGTCTGTCCAGCCACCAGCACTAAAGCAATGACCAGCTTCTGTAGAAATAGGTCCTGCAGCTTTTTGCCCTCAGAAGGTTGTAGGATGTGTTTCTACACAGCCTGATTTTAATCTGTGGCTCAATTAAAAAAAAAAAAAGGCAAGACAACAACCTTCTGAGGGCAAAATATGAGCAGAGACTGTTTTGCACACCAGTGTCATACCTGTTATTGAAGGGTTGATGCTGACAAGCAGTGTCAGGGCAGCTGGCACTAAGTAGACAACCTGTTAATGACATAAATCTACTTGGCAGCAAAACTTAGCAAGCTCAGGAAGCAGAAATGCCCAGCCACAGCAGCACTTCTCCCCTTCACACAGTTTTTCAGAGGTACAGAGCAGATCCCAGTCCCTCGCCCTACGGCATGCCCTGGCACTGCTAGTGCTCACCTTCACCATCACCACCCAAAATCCTGGGCCATCAGCCCTGAGCCAGCCCTTTTTCCTCTGCTCCTGACTTCCAGAATGCTGGCTGTCTGACCAAGCACTGCAGAGCTCCTTCCCTGAATCCTGACCCTGACGGGACAGGCTCCTGCCCAGCCCTGGGCTCCCCAAACCCTCCACCCGCACTGGAGCGTTTTGTCCCCTTTGGTGCCGCTGTCAGAGGGGCTCACACACCCCAGGGCACGCAGGGCAGCCCCTGCCCAGCCAGCAGCTCCTGTCGCACACAAACTGTCCCCATCACCCGCAGCGCCCTGCCCAGGGCCGGGGCCAGGGGCTGCTCAGTGCCCGGGGCAGGACGGGACCGGAGCGGGGCTCGCTCCCCGCTCCCTCGGAGGCCCGGCTGAGCAGCAGGAGGCGGCTCCGGCTGCACAGCCAAGGCAAGCCCAGGGCCAGGGCACAGCGGGGCGGGAGGAGCGGGAGCAGCTCGGGGTGCTCTGCACAGGCAAGCGATGCTCTGCAAGGGCAGGTGCAGATCTGGGGTGAAATAAGGCAGATCCTGGAAGCACGGGCGAATTCCAGCCGTCGCTGCAGTAGAGACATCGCTTTCCCGGCGGCTGCCCGCTCTTCAGCTGGGAGCCGGCACGTTTCCTCCAGCAGCCCCGGATCGGACGGGCGTTAGCGGAGCGGGGCTGGGGCCGCCGGGACCCCCGGGCAGGAGATGGGGAAGGGGAAGGGGAAGGGGAAGGGGAAGGGGAAGGGAAGGGAAGGGAAGGGAAGGGAAGGGAAGGGAAGGGAAGGGCGGCCCGTACTCACCGTCCACAGCCCCGCGTCGGGGTCGTTCACCTGCAGCGGGAGGCGCGCACTGAGACACCGGCCCGGCCGGGGCCGCGCTCCGCGGGAGGGGAGCGGAGGGGACGGGAGGGGAGCCCCGGCCTCACCTGCACGGCGGCCGCCAGCCCGAAGAAGGCGGCCATGAGGAGGTTACAGAGCCGCCACAGCCGCGCCGCCATGGCCGGGGCGGGACAGAGGGGACGGACAGAGGGGACGGACAGAGGGGACGGACAGAGGGGACGATCCCGGGCAGCACGGCGATACTTCGAGGCTGGGCAGGCCCTGGCACAGGTGCCCAGAGCAGCTGGGGCTGCCCCTGGATCCCTGGCAGTGCCCAAGACCAGGCTGGACGGGGCTGGGAGCAGCCTGGCACAGTGGGAGGTGTCCCTGCCGTGGCAGGGGGCTAAATGAGATGACTTTTAGGGCCGCTTCCAACCCAAACCATTCTGTGATTTTTGTAATGGTTCAGAAATAGTTTTGTGTTTAAGAGATTTGGTCATTTTGTGGAGTCTGGAGAACAAAAAAGGATGTTCCTCAGAAGAATAGCATTGTGCCATTGTTCGCTGATCATTTATGATGAAAAGTGATAATAAGTGACAAATTGAAAGTGGGTCCTTTAGGAATGTGATATTTACCAAAACCGAGCCTCTGTGAGATCATGTCTTCCAATTTCAGTTTCAGAATCGTACAGTTCCCCCAGCACCCAACAGAATCCGGTCTTGCTGAATTGTTATGTGGAGGACATGTAAATGTGTCCACATTTGTGGAGAGGATTCATTCTCATTTTTAACTGAGTCTTTCTTTGAGCAGGTTACAAGAGATGAAATTACTGCAAATAAAGCCACAGAGAAGTAAGAATGGTCTTTGTGAGAATTCCTACCCCTCACCTCAAAAGAAGCAAAGCTCTAGTAATAAATCACCTTCATGCCTTGTTTCCAGAGCAAGGATAGGCTCTTGAATGTATTTTCTAACAGAGGGGAAGTAATTTTGGGCTAGAAAATGAAAGTGTCAAGGATTAAAAAGCAACAGTGGTGATAAAAGTGTAAGAAGAATGTAAGAGCATGTCTTTCATTAGCATAATAATTATTAACATAATATGATAGGAAAATAAAAGCAGCCAAGCTTTTCAGGCATACCAGTTCTTTGTGTGGGAAACAAAATTATGAGTCACTGCCCATTTTTTCCAACCATACTAGCTGATCTTCAATATGAAAATTAATCTGTGATGAAGTCTTTGGATCTTTAATTTGTCTGATCACAAGCTATTGTGTAAATTTGCACAGCCCACCTAGTTTCTGTCATGGCTGGGCTGCTCCTTGACATCTCATGGGCTGCACAGTCAGGAGGGGAGAGGGAACAGATGGGAGAAACGGATAGAGACTGGGAAGGAAGCAGAGAAACAGCTGGGCAGACACATCCAGGGCCCTGTGTGGTGTGGGACAGGACTCTGCTGAGGGGAAGGGAAGGCTGGGCTGGCAGAAAGAAGCTCCTAATGGGCACTTGGGAGGCATGGCATGGAAGGTTTGGCAATCCTGTGAGTGACCAAAGTTCAGTGACACAAGAGCAAGGGAAGGCAAAAGGCCCCTCTTGTCTCTCCTGAGGATACGGTCAGAAGGAGGTTTAGCGACTGTGACATTCTTTACTGCTCTAATTCATAGAATCACGGAATATTCTGAGCTGGAAGGAACCCATAAGGCTCACCGAGTCCAGCTCGAGCAGATGGCCCATACAGGGATCACACCCACAACCTTCATGGTAGCATCATGCTCTGGCCAATTGAGCTAAATGGAACTCAAAAGCAATCAGGCTGTAACATGCCTTAGAAATAAAAACATCTTTCAGTGCTGGGTGTGCTTACTGCAAAGAAAAGGTCGGGGCTGTTCACTTTAAAGCTTTACCAACTATCCTGAGCACTCCTCCAGGCACCCGCGGCAGGACACAGCAGACTTTGTCGGCAGAAGGCAATACTGACTTCTCCCATGAGAGGGAGGCCAAGAACCTTTAGTATCCTTGAGTGCAACTAGAGCTACTTGTTCCTCGATATTAGGCAAAACATCTTCCCTCTTTATGCCTCTCTGGATCTGCTGCTCACCCCACAGCAGTCCGAGCTTTTCTTCGCTGTGGCAGCCCCACCTGTAAAGAACGGAGGCAGCAGGGACGGGCCCTGCAGCCAAGCTGTGATATTGAGAGTCAGGATGTTTCCCTGTACCAGAGATTTTACTATACCACAGCCATAGTCACCCATCACAGTGACCCATTTCATAATGGCCCCCATCCTTGTGTCCTGAATGGTCACAGATTGGTTTAGCTTGGATCAAAGGTGATTAAAAGGCTCCGGGTGGGCAGATGAAGGGTTCAGGGCCTTTGGTGTGTTCCTGGCTGCACAATCCTGACTGCAATTCCAATGGGGACATCTGGAGATAAATGCATGGTTGCACAGCTGATATGGCCAGAAGGGCTCTGTTGCCTAAACTGGTGGGTCGGGTGCCAGGAGCAGGGAAGGATGAGGCCCACCTTCCTGAGAATGGGAGCAGCTCTGTGTTCCCGGATTGACCGACTTCAGAGAACACATTTCTGAGACAAAGGCAAACCCATCCCTGGGATTGTTTTTGCTCAAGGACATGGATGCACCAGGTGAGTAATGCAGGACAGGGAAACATGATATGTACCTCAAGCAGATTTGATTTCTGGGTGAGAACAGTCTGTAATGTTGAATTGCATATGTCATATTGGTTGTTGAATGACAACAATGTCATAGCTGCCCTGAACAGTGAGTATGGACTGCTCCAGATACACCAGCCATGGAGTAACTGAACTCAACAGATTCATCTTGGTGAGAATGGCCAGTGACTACTGAAATAATAGCTGTGCTCGTGTAGAGTTATATGAAAATATATGCATATAACATAGTTGGGAAGTATACGATCTGGGCATGATGTAAATGGTACAGAATAAGGGGTGGATGATGTCCTGCTTGCAGAGAGAAGGGCACATCAGGAAAAAAATGCAGACAAACCACTCTCACGTCCTGGTGTGGCACAATGTTTTAGGAATAAAGTGATAAGTAACAGATGTCACATATGTTGACTTTAGGAAGGTTTTTAACATTGGCTGTCCTGACCCCTTCTTAAGAAGATATAAGGGCATGGTGAGTGTAAAACTGGTGAGATCATTGTACCACAAGTGCTAATTATCAGTGTTTGTCAAAATGGAAGAACATATTCAGAGGATTTTTGCAAGGGTCCGTACTGATGCCAGATCTTTTTAATTACTTCAGTTAACAGCCTGGATGGTTAACACCCATGACTGCCTTATTAAAACTGCTAATTACTCCAGACTGTTGAGGACAGCAAAGACAATGGGATTCAGCACTAGATGGAGAAATGGCCTGCAATTCAACAGGTACAACTTCCAGCATTACTTTTATGAGCAGCGAGCATCACACATTCAGGTGAGGGAACTGGGTGGATGCAGTTTTCAAAAAAAAAAAAAAAAAAAAACCAAAAAAACCAAAAAAAAAAAACCCCCAAAAAAAAAAAAAAAAAAAAAAAAAAAAAAAAAAAAAAAAAAAAAAAAAGAGAAGAGTCTACAGTGTAATGGAGAGCAAACTGAACACCAGCAATGGAAAAGGCAAACATCATCCTGGAGCATGTGAGCTGTAGCCTCAAAGGCAAGCTGGCATAGTATGCCTAGCTAAGGATGCTGTACTTCAAAAAATGCAGATGGACAGAGAAAAAAAATCAAAGGAGGTCAGTGAGGGTGCTGGGAGGCATAGGAAACATGGAGAAAGGCTGAAGGAAATGAATTACTGTAATGTGTAGAAGAGAAAGCTGAGGCAAGGACAAGAAGGGAAACATTGCAGCTCATCATTGCACACCAAGTGCCCAGGGGGTCATTTTGAACAAGGCTATGGCCATAGTGAACAGGGCAGGATATAAAGGGTTTGAAATTTTAAGAAACCCCTGAAGTTAGGCTTTTGGATCATGTTAGGATGTGTGCCAGAACAGATTGCTAGGGAATGGCACAATCCCCATCACTGGAGGTCTTTAAGGAAAGATTTCACAAACATGTCAGAACAGGTATTGTTGATCCTCCTAGATTTGCAGTGAGGGAAAAGTATGACTTTAGCTAATTGTAAGCAAACACATGTAGGTGGCACAGAGCAGAAGTGGAAGTCAGTGTTTGCCAGTAGGCACTAGGTTTCTGCATCAAAGCCTGCAAGGTGCCAACCCTGGCCCTGCCCTCAGGGGTTAATGCAGAAGAGAAGGCTTAAGCAAAAAAGGGAAGAGAAAGGAAAGATATGGAACTAGGGAAGGGAATGCTTTTTGTGTCAGGACTCAGCACAAAGGGTGATGGTTTGCAGTTCCTGGAGGCACTTCCAGTGTGTGTTCAGGGCTGTATTATCACCTCCATGGTAACCTGGGCAATGGAGCAGCAGGGAGAGTCCTCGTACTTCTAATATATGGGATGTCCAGCTCTTTCCTCAGCCCATCTCCATTCAGAAAAAGCGTCAGTATTGTTTGTACTACAAAGATGAGTACACGAGGCCTCCTGTAGGTGAAGGGACTCCCCTAGGTCATTCAGCAGGCCGGAGAGAGACCACAGTGAAATTGGGGCAACAATTTCTCTGCTCTAATCCACAGCATGTGCTGTCCCTATGACTAGGAGTGTGGGTTTGCCGGACTTAAGAGGAATGGTCAGAAACCATGTGCTGGCATGAACAGCAGTGACCAAGAGAAGAAAGAGAATCAGGGGGAGACTGATGGTGGCAGGAAGAGGCTGGGCGTCCGGGAAACCACAGCAAGGAGTTGTGCCCTGTGGTCCCGAGGGAGTCGGGAGCAGTTTGCGAGGGGCAGCCCGTGCGGGAGAAGCCCTAACCCTAGGGTGAAGATGAGAAATGCTATAAAGCTGCTCGGGCCGACTGCGGGCCCCCGAGGGGATGTGGACAGGACGGCAGATGTCCGGGCGCCGCCGGCTGAGGGGCTGGCGGGGCCGAGCGCGGTGCGGGGTCCCCTGCGGGCGGTGCCCCCCGGCCCGGGGGAGCAGGAGCGGATCCGCAGGACCGCCCGGGGATGCCCGGTTCCCCCGCGGGAGGCAGCGCCGCCTCCGCCCCGCCGCAGCGGTGCCGCAGGCGCGGGGCCCCGGCGGGGAGGGGTTTCGCGGCCCCAGCCGGGGGCGGACGGGCGGCGGGGCCGTGTGTCCTGCCCTGCCGGGGAGGGCCCTGCGCAGCGCCGCCGCCGCTGCTCCCGCTCCGCGCACAATGGCGACTCCCAGCCCCAGCGGCGGCTCCGGGGGGAGCGGGAGCGGGCCCGGGCCGGGCGCCGCCGGCAGCAGCAGCAGCAGCAGCATGCAGGGTAAGCACCGCCGGCCCGGGCAGCGCCGGGCCGTGCCGGGCCGGAGCCGCCGCAGGTCTCGCCCTGCCCGGGCCGTGGGGACCCCTGGGCGCTGCCGGCTCGCGCCCCCCGCGCTGGGCCGCGGCTGTGCAGCAGCGCTGCCCGCGGGAATCCCCGGCCCCGGCTCGGCCCGGCCCTGGCTGCCCCGCTCCG